GACTGTTTCTGAGTTTTGATTCTACCAAAATCAAGGATCCTGTCTAACCGACCTCTCTGGGAAAGCATCCTGCAATGGGATCTCCTCTCTGGATGCTTCCCCCTGCCAAGCAGTGTAGGGCGAGTGTGCCTGCTGCTGGGCGTCACAGCCCGGCCCTAAGTTAGAAGCTGTGAGCATCTTTGAAACATTTTGACAGCAGCCAGGGAAAATCCCAGCAGAGAAAACCTTTCAGTGGTGGAGTAGAGAAAATTTAGTCTTTTAAACCAGAAGACTGCAGGTTGAGTTGCAGTTTCATCTGTCGCTCAAAATATGCATATAATTTTCTGTACTTTACAAGCCACTCATCTTGGCTTGTCTGCATGCCATGGGCCAGGGGCCAGATGTGGCCCCAGTTTTGGGGTGTTCCCGGTGACTCAGCCACACCCCCTTTTTACATATTGTCATGGCTGCTTCTGCAACACCAGGGCAGGATTTCCAAGTCAGGCAGAGAGTGCTATGGCTTTGGTGGGGTTGGCATGTCCCTGAAAGTCCACTGTGATTGAGGCTTTAGAGCCAGGGCTGAGGACCTGGCAGGGAGTGGAACCTGTCAGAGGCGGAGCCCAGTGTGGGATCCTGTCCATGGCGGCTCCCCTTCCGGGGCATTGTGGTCTTGGTGACTCTCTGCCCCAGCTCAAGGTACAGTCCTTGCCCTTCATGGTTGCCATTTCTGCAGCAGAAACCTGAGACGCCTACTCACAGAAAGGAAGATTTCCTTTCTTCACAGTTTCTGTGCTCAGTCTTGGGCCCATGGCCTCACGGCTCTGGACCCTGGAAGACGGAACAGTATCTAGAGTGTGGCATGCAAAGCTGGGCCCTGGGTGGCAGCTGGAAATCAGAGAGGAGGAAGCCCGGTATCCCAACGTCCCCTGAAGGGCCCCCCACTTGGTGGCCTTACTGACTTGCACTGCCCCCACCTCTTCATAGCACCACCCAGGGACCAAGCCTTCAGCACTAGAGACTTTGAGGACTTTTAAGATCCACACTGTACTGACCTCCAAATCTGTGGGCTAGGTAAGACTTTCCTCTTTATAAAGTCAGCTGCCTCAGGGGCTTTGTTATAGGAATTCAAAGCTGATTCATACAGAGACCATATGGCCTGAGAAAACTAAAGTATTACTATCTGGTGCTTTAAAAAAAAGGTTTACTCGAAATCCACATAAAGACTTAAGGCTCTTGCACAACGAAGCAAGTACTGGCGTTTGGGGAGTATGAAAATCTAGGAGTTGCCTTACATACCACTTCCCACACAGCGCTCTCTGTCTTTTCAACAGCCAGCCTCCCGGAAAGGGGCAGGAACCCCGGAGGCCCTCCTGCGAATGTCCCACGTGCCTAAGCGCTTCCTATAAATATTATGTGGACCCAGAGCAAGCTCCCTGTCTTGGTTTAAGTCTGTGATTTCTCCTCACAGCTGTGCCCGGAACCCCTCTGAGGCCCGTGTCAGGCTTTGAATCACCTGTGCGTTTCTTGGGGAGCAAAGTCGTAAGGGGTGGAAAACATTTATCCTGGGTCAGCTGCAAATTGTAATGTGGGTGCAGACGTGTTGGATGCCGGCAGTTGGATCATTCTTGGGGACTCCAGGGCACAGGATTGCCTTTCTCCTGCTCTGCCGGGTGACCAGGAGGAGGTCCTTTTACCGTGGTGAGACTCAGCTCTTGTTAAGCCAGGCACACACGGGGACGGCGGGATGGTGCTGGATGCGGGGATTCCTTGGGAGCTCGGGGCTGCTGTGTTAACTGTGTCACGTCACCCTGATTCTCCAAGCCGGGTACCGACCACATGTTGCTTCCTCTAAATCTGAATTTGGGAAATCCAGGAGGAAATGCACCCCACAGGCGGGGAAGGGCCTCCAGATCGGGCAAGCACTGGGGGCACACCATCGTCACCTCTGCCCCCGTTCCCTGGCTTTTTATTGTCTTGCTGCGTTATAAGGCTGGAAGTGGGCCCTGAAGCCTTACTCTGCGATCACTGTGTCAGTCAGCCTGCGTGCCTGGGGCAGGGTAGGAATAAAGAGGATGACGACTTGATGGCTCCTTTAGCGGACTTGCAGATGGGCGAGGACCCCAGTGAGGAGCTGGGTTTCTATCCTGATTCACCAGTGAGGAGTCCTTGGAGACAGGTGCTTTCCTCTCCGGGCTTCCTTTCCTTCGACCCAGTATAGGAGGAGAATCAGTGCTTTGTGGTCCTCACCAGGATGGGGATTAAACACTGAAGATTCAGCTGGTGGTAGAACTCCTCCTACCTGGATTTCTGGCCATTGCAGATTCACCCCAGAAGAAGGGTTCTGTTAGTACCAGGAGGAGAGGTCAAAATCTGGTGGTGCCTTGGGTCTCCTTGGCCTGCAGATACCACGAAGGGAGGGTGGAGGCTGTGTTCTCATAAGGGGACACTCAGAGCCTGGAGAGGGCCCGGTGCCCCTCAGACCCTCCTGCTACCTGGGCTCACCCTGCTCTTTACTCTCTTACGTCCCTGTCTCTGCAGACGTTGAGTCCTCCAACCTTGCCCAGAAGAAGGCAAAACAAAGATTAAGTTTTTTGCCATGGGAAGTAGGGGGTGACATACCCAGGGAGAGCTGTGGTGCAGCCCTCCCCAGTGGGCTCCCCTGTGTGCGTGGGAGGAGCAGCTTGTTCTCTCTGGGGCCCAGAGAGGGCAGAGGAGCCAGCCCTGGCACAGCAGGAGAGAGGGATGAGGAGAGAGACCACCGACATTTAGAGCAACCATGTCTGAGCCAGCATTGTCTAATACAACGACTCTTGATGTGGGTTCTGCAACCAGCTTGTCCTAGTCAATGGGAGGCTATTACAGACTTCCACCCATGGTTGCTCCTCACTCCACGGCTGGTAATGAGTGTCTGGCATTTTGAGTTGTTGCCAGGAATCACTGGGACAACAATATACTTGTCATTTGCTACCACTATTGAGATGTCCATGATCAGCACTAGCTTACTGTGATGGTCACCACTTCTTCATTTCATCACGGTCACCATCATCATCACCACTGTCATCGCTCTCATCATCACCATCCTCATGACAATAATCATAGCAGTGGTAGTGGTGGTGGTGGGATGATGTGGATAGTGATGGTGCTGGACAGGATTTTGGTGATGTTGACATTTAGGACGGCAGTGATAAGCACCATCTTCTCTTCTTCTGCAACAAAATCTCAATTATCATCATCACCACCATCGTCAAATCACTGTCACCACCATTACTATCATCACTAGCATCACCACCACCCATCACCACCATCTGTCACCACCATCGGTCATCATCACTATCCATCACCACCATCGCCATCACCTCCATCCATCACTACCACCCATCACCACCACCATCACCATCACCACCATCCATTACCATCATTCATCATGTCACCCCTCCACGCTGTCTACTGGGCTGCACGTGGCCTTTTCCACGTGGCCTCTGTTGAGTCGCAGAGGACCTGCTGAGACACAGGCATTCCTGGGACTTGTGGGTGTGGCTTGGCTGGTGAGATTGGAGGTGCTTCCTCTAACTCAGCTTCCACCTCCCTGGAAATCACAGGTGGCCATCTTCGAGGAGAAGGGAACTGCCCAGGTGCCGTTAACTGGGTACGGGTGTTGGGGAGGCCCCTGGCCAGAAATGGCAGCAAACACTACAACTTTGGGAAAGGCGTTGGAGTAGCTGTTCCCTGAGGCGCATCAGGGCTGGCACAGAAAATGCGCAGCAAACCGATTCTAAGCCAATGTGTGAAAGATGCGTGACGGGGGCCATGGCACTTCTGGAGGGGCTCCACGGCTTCCTGGTGGTGCTCCTCCTGGGCGTCCTGTGAGTCCCTCATGGCCAGGGGCAGTAGCCACAAAAGAAGGGGGAGGGGAGATCAAGCCTGGTTCCTGGTTGTGCCAACTTTCAATCATTTATGAACAATTTCCCCCGAGAGGATCCTACTCAGGAGAGAGGTAACAGCTGTTCGTGAGACTGTCTGGGAGGCTGCCAGGGAAATCTTGACAGTGTAGTCTGCCACAAGGGAGCACACATGTGTTCTCTCCCCGCAGCCACCAGGTCAGACAGGAGTGTCTCTGCCAAGTGGGCACTAAGATGGGTGCTGGGGGGAGACAGCAGGGGCAGACTCAGGCCTCGGGTGTGATAGGTCAGCACTTGGGGAGAGTGGGCGCTGTCCAGGGCAGGCTCCAAAAGCCCAGGCCTCTGCCCTCCAGGCATGGCTCTTGCCAACTGCAGATGGACAGAACCAGGAAGGGGGCCAGCCAGGGACTGTGTGGCAGATGTGGTCAGGAAGGACTGAGGCTGCTGGAGGAGGGACCAGGAGCAGTGAGAAGGTGGCCGTCCTCTGCCATCTGCCTCACGGGCAGCAGACAGCTCTTGGTCAGGCTGTGACCGTCCTGCTCCCGAGGCAGCCTGTCCTTTTGTCCCTGCTCTGCTGGTTTCCCCCTCCTTCCTCCCTCTGCCAGGGAAGGGCACAGGGCAGCAGGGCCAGGCCATGGACCCTGTTTGGGAAACTTCCTCCTGCCCCGAGGCCTCCACAGGGCAGTGAACAAGAGGCAGCTGCTGGTCTCCCAGCTGCCTCCCGGGGATCCCAGTGTCCTGAGGTCTACAAGTCTGAGGCTCATCTCCCCCCGAAGTCCCAGACCATCCGGGCTCCTCTGGCTTTGCTATGCCCTGCCCTGCTCTCAAGTCTGCTTCCCGCCCCTACTTAGGCTCCAGTGTCGTGGAGCAGAATCCACCCAGGAGGACACAGGTCCTCGGGGAACTCTCAGCAGCACTCACAAGGCCAGGCAGAGGCAGCAGGTGAAGGCTTAGCAGGGATGAGAGGATGCTGCTGCCCAAGGGCCAGGGCACAGCTTGAGGATGGAGGGGTTGTAAGGGGAGTGGCCGGAGCTGGCCCCGGCCCACGGGTGGTTAGCAGCCCCTGCCCCGCACCCCGGGTCTGCGGGCATGGGTCCCTGACCCCTGTCTCCTCCTCTCCAGGTTTGGCTGTGCATCAGATCATCACCATCACCGTCTCCCTCATCATGGTCATCGCTGCTCTCATCACAACTCTTGTCTTAAAAAATTGGTAAGGCCTGGAGGTGGGGGGCTTCGGGGTCGTGGGAAGTGTGTGCAGAGAGGCCCCAGCTTTGCAAACCCAGCCCCGCCATAGCCCCGGGGATCAGTTTTCCTGGCCTGGGCACTGGCTGCAGCCGAGAGGGCTTCAGGATGCGGCATCTAGGCTGGTGTCACTCCTGCTCCTAGCTCTGTCCTGGGTCCTCATGGACCATGGGTGCTATACCCAGAGCCTATCCCCTTTCTTTCTCCCTGGGCTGCCCTGGGAACCGAGGGGACAAGGTCCTCCTGGCAGCAGCCTGGACGGCCTTCTCAGCCTCCTTCCTCGCTCCGTGGCCACTGCGTGTGTCTCCAAACTAGGTCATCGCTTTGCTGTGGGCACTCACTGTGGCCTGCTCCCTCCTGGAAAGTGGCCTACTTTGTGGCTGGTCTTGCTGAGGTTGCACACCTGATATGTCCCAGAGACACCAGGGGACTTCCTGGTGACCCTGCTGCCCTTAGCACCACAGAGGCCTGGCTGCCTATTCTAGCTCTCAAAGCCCCAGCTCCCCAAAGAGCAGTCCTCCCAGAGGTCCCCTTGTGGGCTGGACAGTGACATGGAACCAGACAGGGACACAAAGGAACTAGCAGAGAAAGCCTGTCACCCAGGGGGACCTGACAGCAGGTGGTAGGACGGGGTGGGGGGTAACCTGAGGAAACCCTCCCAACTGGCAAGGCCTCCCAGCCACTTCCTGACACCCAGCAGACACCTGAGGTGGGGACCTCAGGTATTCTCTGGGGACAGGAGACAAGGACATCACAGCTGCTCACAGCAGAGCTGCTCAGGCAGGGGCGGTGGGCAGATCCACAGGCTGACTAGGGAGGAGTCTCTCCTCGCCGATGAGCTGGAGAAATTTCCAGCCTGTGGTGGGGCCTGGCATCTTGTGCTTTCCATGCTTGCCTCCAGCACTTTGGTTCCAAGCAAGCCCTCGAGGAGCCCAGGGTTGCAGCTGGGATGACAAGGGGTGACAGTGATCCTAGGCTGGCTCTTTGGAGGGGCACAAGGCAGCTGGGCCCTGGGTCTGTGGCATTCACATCTCTCCTTCAGGCTGGGCCCCTCCTGGGGGCCACCAAGGCAGGGAGGCCTGTGGGAGATGGACCTGCCCTGGTGCAGCCCCGTGAGGGGGAACAGTGCTTGGTGGGGGCGTCCTTGGCTCTCTCACTGCAGCAGTCCCCCCAGCTGCCATGCCTCCTTCCGTGGACTTAGCGCTGTGGTGGCCTCTGGGGTCACCAAGGGCTTTGGTGCTGCATTCGTTCTCAGAGAAGGGTGGGTTTCATGTGGTGGGCTTCCCTTAGTGGCCTCTGGGAGCCCAAGACCCAGAGAAAACAAGGCAGGTGACAGGGACAGGAGGACAATCACCTCTCATGACCCTCGCTTCCAATTCATGATGGAGACCTGGGCCCCACTGAGGATGAACACTGGGTTACTTCTACCCAGACTGTCACAAGGGACACCTGCAGCTGTCCCCAGAGCTCCCACAGAGCCAGGCCCTCTGACTACAAGCTGGGTCAGCGTTTTCATCTCACCCCCTGATGGAGAAACTGAGTCACACAGTGGTCTGGCAGAGAGGGCTTTAGACAAATGGGCCGTCCAGGGGCTCAGCCCTTCTTTCCCTTCCAACTCTGCCCATGAGAAAGGCCACATCTAAAATTCAAATTTAAAAGAAAGGAACTGATTGCTGGATTGTGGTTGATCTCCGGGAAGGGGCTAGGAGTCACCATGAGACATGAAACACTGTGTCCAGGACCTGGCGAGGGTGCCGCAGGCCTGGCACCTGCCCGCCCCCACCCAGCCTCTCTCTCCCCAGCTGTGCCCAAAGCGGGAACCCTCGGAGGAACAGCCACCAGCGGAAGATCAACCAGCAGGAGGAGAGCTGCCAGAACCTCACCGACTTCACCCCGGCCCGGGTGCCCAGCAGCCTGGACATCTTCACGGCCTACAACGAGACGCTGCAGTGCTCCCACGAGTGCGTGCGGGCATCTGTGCCCGTATACACCGACGAGGCGCTGCACCCGGCGGGCGAGTACAAGTCCACATTCAACGGGAACCGGTGAGCTGCAGAATAGGGGCGCTGGTCTGTTTGGGTCACTCACTTAAACGGCTTCTGGGAGCCCACGTGCCAGTGTCACCCATGAGTGACACAGGTTAGCGATGGCAGGGTCTCTAGACTCCAGGACGCAGCAGCTCCAACCCGAATTCTCTTCCGGACCCCCAGCTCTTGCAGGCACAGAATGAAAGCATACACCCTCCAGTCCCCGCTGTGGCTGCACGCTGGCCAGCGCCCTGGGGGTCAGAATATCAACACCTCCTGAATATCAACACATTACAGTTGGTCCCTCCCAGTGCCGGTGTCTCTGGGACTCCGTCAATAAAATGTCAGCTGTGAGCTCAGCAGAAATATCAAGTAGCAGGCGGACTCCAGTGCCAGACACTTCTTATTAAATGCTCTTTTTTATTATTCATGGGTGATCCCTCAAAGAAGACATATTCCTAACCACCCCTGGGAATATTGAAGAAGCCCTTGAGTCAGCTCCTGAAGGTTTGTCCAGAATTAAATTAAAATATCAATAAGCTAGTTTTTTTTTTTTTTTTAAAGAAGCATACACTCATGCATCATTTTGTAGATTTAAAAAAAAGTCCAAACAACTTAAAAATCTTAGGAAGAAATGAGCCAGTCAGTCCCCTGGCTACCGAGGCCCAGTCAGCAGTGGGGTGAGCAGCTGGGAGTCAGGGCAAGGAGCCCGTGTGGAGCATTTTGGGAAAGGTCGCCTGCTGCAGGTGCTGGTTTTTCCGGGGGCAGGGAGGCAGGGTCCTGGCTGCCACGGCCAGCTGCAGTGTCCACAGTTATCATGCCCTTTGTCTATAGCAGCTGGAGGCAGATGCCCCCTAAAAGCCTCTCAGCTCACCTCTGGGATTTCCACCTTGGGTTTTCTCCTTAGACACACCCCTTCTTCCAGGGGGACAGCCAAGCTTGGAGGGCCAGAACCTCTGAACAACACGAGATCTCCCCCAGGGGGCTCAGTTTGTAGAGAATCAGGAAAAGCCTTTTCAAACCATTGTATAGAAAATTCGAGTGTTGGTTTGGATGTGAATCCTGGGCAGGCAATCCCAGGGGAGGGATGAGGCTTTGGGTCAAGGTTTGGGGACACCTGGTGCTTTGTTTTGCCCCCTGGGTGCCTGTATGGCTGGTGGCACCTCCAGGTGCAGACTGTGTCCCTGGCTTGAGGCTGGGAGTGCAATGGGTTCCTGCAGCTGGGCCTCAGGTCCTGCTCTGCTGCTGTCCACTGGCCTTGGGACATGGCAGCTTAGTCCTCTTGGTGGCTGGAGTCAGGTCCCCTCCTTTCTGTTGTGAGTAAAGGCTTCCTGATCTCTGCCCTCAGAGGCACAGACCCCAGCTCTGAGCTTGGCTTCAGAATTCCGGAGCTAAAACCTGTCAATGGCACAGGTTTGGGGGACACTAGCCCTTCCAGCCTCTGTGCCAGCGCCCTCCCATACCCCAAACCTCCAGGCCTGGTCCTCCAGCCCTCCTGAGTGCAGCATTAGTGAGTCAAGGTCTCTCCCCAGTAGCCCCACATCGGGCTGACCTTCTTGGGGTCCCTGTGGTGATGCCAGACTCCTGCGCCTCCTGCCCACATACACAAATCCATTTCTCTGCTGTCCTCTCTGCAGCTCCTCCTCCGCTGACCGGCATCTCATCCCTGTGGCCTTCGTGTCTGAGAAATGGTTTGAAATCTCCTGCTGACTGGCCGAAGGCTTTTTACCTCCTGGGGCAGGGCAGACGCCAGGTGTCTGTCTCATGGTATGTACCTCTCTCTGGACATCCTCTCTGTCTCCTCTCCCCGATTGTGGGAGCATCACGGGCCCTATTGGGGTGGTAGGCACCAGAAGAAGCAGCAGCAACACCTTGTGGAGTGGAAATTAGGGAGCTGGATTCTGGGGCCCCCGGGGGGGCACAAACGCCCCTGTGTCCCTGTGGGGGAGTGGTGGACACGCGCTGTCCCTGGGATCATCGTGGCTGGGCCTGTCGTCCCTAGAGAGGGCCACTGTGAGCAGGGCCTGCTGGGCAGGGACAGGCATTTCTGGAAACAGGCTCCATGACTACCCTCCTCCTCCTCCACGGGAAGAGGCAGGCCAGTGGCTAAGTGGGCAGGGTCGCACCCCGTTGCGCAGCTCCGCACCGGGAAGGGAGGGAGGCAACACAAAAATACGATTTTGAGACACTGAACTAAGAGATAAGAAGGAACATGATAAAGAAAGCAAGCAAAGAGTTGAGACGTCTACTAATTTGAAGCCAGGGACTGGCACCAAAACAGGATGAATCTCCACGCTCTGCTGGGCAGGAACATTTCGTCTGCTCTCAGTGATAGGAGCGCGGATGTGCAGGGCTCTGCGAGCCGGGCTGCAGGGGGAGAGGCCGCCGGGGGGTGACAGCACACCCTGGGCTCTGGCGCATGGGCTGCAAGTGCAGCCTGGGGGTCCGGATTTAGCTTGTGTTCTATTTGTTTTTCTTTTCGATGTGCACGTCAGTCTTGCTGTCTCTCTGCTCTTTGCCCCCTAGAGTGAGTGGGGTCTCCCCAGTCCTCTCCCTTCCTGTGGGGGTGGGGGGCCCTGCTTCTGGGGTGGGATGTCGTGTCTGGGTGCGCTCACTTCTTCTTGGCCACTCACCATCTGTGTGGGACACGGTGGCCAGTGTGGGCTGCAGGGCGCAAAGGTGTCCAGGACTGCAATTGGGGCCCTCAGCCAGGCCCTGGCAGCCGGCTGCAGTCGGTCGGTCCTTCATCCCAGTGCTAATGAATTACGCGTTCGCTCCAAATCCCATCTCCAGCTCTTCCTCCCTGTCCCAAAGCCCAATATTCTGCCAGCAGGCAAGGAAGCATAATTGGATTAGACTGGCAACAAGCTGCCCTGCAGAAGTCGTGGTGGAGCCCAGGTGGGCCAGCAGGGAGCATGCAGGGCCCAGCCTTTCCCCGGTGGAGGCTTGCACACCCGTGTCTATGGAACCACGGCCTGTGTCCGCCTGACCCAATGTGCCTGGTGACATGGGACAGCCCCTTTTGGTACCACAGCTGCATGGCAGCAGGACATTTGCTGATGGCAACCGAGCCTGGCTTCCTGGGCCCATCCCAGGGCTGTGTGGCTGCCAGCATCTGAGTCTCAACCTAAGAGGAGGATTCACAAGTAATTCAGTGGTTCAGCAGATGCCAGGCCTGCACGGCGGCCTCCCCTGCGGCTGTGGGCTGGAAGCCACACCCTGCAGTTCCACGTGACCTCCGCTGGGGCACAGCCCTGGTGCCCCAGTCAAATGGTATCTCACCATCGGCCCACGCTAACTGTAGGACGCATTTGTCCTCTCCACAGCCCCACTCACAGGGGAAACTGAGGCTGCTTGGCCTCAAGCAGGTTGTCAACATGAGGATGGACCAGCCCCAGGCTGCCTGGCCCCCACACTCCTGCTTGCACCTGTCCTCACGACAGGTCCTGGCCAGACCCCGATGTGTCCTGCTGTGTCCTCTGTCCCCAGGCAGGAGGAGAGCTGGGGTAAGGTTTGAGGCCAGGATCCTCAACTAAGGCCACAGCCCAGAAGCAGCCCATGCGCCCAGCAGGGCGGAGGAGCATCTGCTGAGTGCCCCACGCCTGGGCCCAGGGGTCTCCCTGTACCCAGAGCAGGGCCGCAGCACCAACTGTGCAAGCTGTGATTGCCTCAGAAAACCCTCCTGTCCTGTTGCTCTGCTTCCCTGGCCCAGCACACAGGCACCCGCACTCCACGGTGCACAGCACCAGCAGCTCTGCCAGCCCAGAGCCCCAGGAAGGGGTGCAAGATGTGGGTGCCCAGATGGGCTGCCCATTTCCACAAGGAGCTGTCTGTCCACACAGCTGGAGCCTCTCTCTCTGCGGACCCCTGAGAGGCGGGAGGAGAGCCTGGGGGACCAGAGGCATCGAGTCAAAGTTGCTCTGAATGGGCTGAGCTCAGCCACTGAGTCTGTCTATTGACACAAAGCCAGGTCCACGCCCGAGGCCCCATGGGTGAAGACTGGGAGGGCTGTGCAGGCGGCCTTGTTAGTTAGGTCCTGATAAAGCTCTTTGCCGCCTGTGGGACAGGCTGTTTGTCACTCACTGGGACGAAGACTTGTGTGTTGTCGGCACCTCTGCTTCTCCTAATCAAGACCTGGAGGTGGACCTTGAGCGGAGAATAACTGGGGAGCTCTCCCAGATTTCCTAGGGTACTTATTGTCCCTTAAATAAATAGCAATTAATACTAAAACATTTAATCAAAGTTGAAGAGCGGGTGAAGACATTTATCTCCAATAGCTGCCCAGACTCTCCAAATGCATTTTTAACGAGGGTGGAGCCGACTGTGGTCACGAGGGTCCTCGTCCTGTCACACCAACCTGTGTGCACACGTGGGCCCAGTGGTGGCCCCCAGCTGGGCTCAGGGACAGCTGGGCACCCTGCAGCCCCGAGGCCGCATCTGCAGTCCGTTCCACCTGGTTCCTGTCTCAGCCCACCTCTGCAGCGGGGCTGGGCTGCTCTGGGCATAGACAAAACGAAGCTGCCCTCCTGTGTCCGAGGAAGAGCACCTGGACCACACATGGCAGCGGCAGCGCCTTGGGGAGAGTTCCGCCCCCCTCTCTCGCCTCTTTCCAAGTGGAGCCGCCGAAACCATCAAAGCTCCTGAATCCAGAGCAAGTGAGACACAAATCACCATGTTATTATTTTCAAAAAACACACTGAAGACATAACTAATAAAAAAAAGAAAAAACAGGAAATGCCCCTGAGCCTTCCCACTTCATTGTTAAAAAAAAAACATTAATAGAACATGGAGGTTTTGTAATTCTGAGGGTCACTGTTTTCAAAGCGACACCCAGGCCCTGGTGGAGCCGAGCGCTCCCTTTCAGGTTGCTGAAAGGCACTGCGTCCCTTTCAGGTGGCTGCCCTATGTTCTCTTGGCAGAAGCAGGCTCTGAGCCCTGCCCCAGGGAGCCGAGGGGCTGTCGCAGCTGCCTCCTTCCAAGCAGCAGAGGGCAGAATGGGTCCCGGCTCCCATCTCCCGGATAGCTCTGTCTGGCAGGCAGCTTCCTTCCTTGGCCAGCTGAGGAGCCTCCTAGCTGCAGGTTCCGCGCGTCTCTGCCTCTGGCCCCTGGCTTGGGCTCCTGTTCTCTGGCTGCACAGCCCTCGGGCTGAGCCTCAAAACAGCAGTCCGAGCACCTCCCAGAGCCGCAGTTGGAGCCATGCAGCCAGCTGCATTCCGGAGCCTCCCCCAGGCCTGCTGCTGGGACTGGGTCCAGCCTCTGCTTCCAAGTAGCCACTGCAGACACAGGGCCAGCCAGGTCTCCCTTCCACATAGAGCCCCCCACCCACACTTACTTCTGAAGGCACAGGAAGAGGGGTCCCAGGACAAATCTCCTTTTGGAGCACAGGTCTCTTCTCAGCTTCCTCCGGGCCTGGTTCCCACCCCAGGCAGGCAGGAGCCAAAGGTGGCCTGGTGGTGACCCTCGTCCTTGGGGAGTTCACACACACACACACACACACACACACACACACACATCTAAAAGTGTCTGTAGATTGTCCCACACCTCAGAAGGAACAGGACAGGCGCAGAGTGGATGGAGATAAACACACGCCACCTCCAGGAAGGACAGGGGCCTGAGGAGCCTCGGCCACTGAACCTCAGGAATGTGAGGCTGGGATCTGCAGGTCCGAATGAGGGTGCCATGGGGGGCTTAGAGAGGAAGAGGAGGAGGAAGAAGGGCAGAGTGGGCCCTCACCGCATCTGCCTCCAGATCCCGCACACCACCCACATTCAAGCTCTGTCCGCTGAACCCCAGCACCCCTCCCTGAGCCCCTGCACCGCCATCTGTCTCTGGATCATGACCACTTGGGTCCCTCCTGTGAGTGTGACTGTGTAGCACCAGAAAACATTTGAATGAAGATGGGAGCACCGCAGGGGGTTCCCTTGTGGTGATTTAACCCCTATAGAGTTGCCCAATCAGCTGTCGCTTGTGGTGGTTGGCAGGCTGAGGTGACCTTCAGAGACCTGACTTCCATGGTCACAATTTGGGTGTCTGGGAAGGACCACCCCTTTGGATAGACTTTGGGGCTGAGGCTCCAGGAACCGAAAGCAGGGGCAGCTGCTCCGGGGCCACCAGCCACACTGGCTAAGCCCAGTGGGAGTCCTGCACTCTGCAGGCATGTCCCACCTGGTGGTCTGCAGGCCTCTGTTCCCCTGGTCAGTGGGCGTAAGAACACCATACTCCTGTCTGTTGGGGACAGCTAGGTGACAGTCTCTGCCTGGCTGTCCTTAGACCTTATACAGAGCTCTTAGAAATACATGTTCCCAGACCTGGCCAGGAGTCTGTTTCTGAGAAGACCTGAAGGTGCCAGGGTGGAGCCAGTCTGACTGCCTATGCTCCAAGCCTCTCCTGACCTCATCTGGGGTCCCTTGGCAGCCCCACCCCACTTTTTGCATGGACCAGGCTGTGTAGGCAGTTCCTTTCTGCCTGTAGCTAGCTCTGAGGCACCTCATCCCCGTATCCCAGGTGCCCTTTTGAGCAGACACACCCACCTGCAGAGCTGGAGTTCCTGTCCACACCCAGGAGTGCTGGTACTGTCCAATGATACCTGGGCCAGGCTGGCCTGCTGGATCCCTCAATGCCAGGGGACTGGGCCTTACTGTCTGAGGCACCCACAGGCTGGACTGACACCCCTGTCCCTGTGCCTGCTGCAGGAGCTCACCTTCAGCAAGCTCCCCTTCCTGGGAGAACTGAGAAGGTGTCTTTCTGATGTGACCTGTGAGTGTCTCCTCAGTCCCGGCTGCAGGGTGGATAGGGTACTTTCCTTCCCAGGAGCGGAGCGCTGCAGCTCTGATCCTACACCTCTGTAGGGAGCACGGGGCACTCCGATCGCAGTAACAATCCCCGAAGTCAGAGACCGCTTCACGGCCCCGAGGGCTGCTGTTTCTTGCAGTTCTCAATGCAGGTTCTCATGAGACACCCTTCCCTCTTGTAGGCCACAGGGGTGCGCCCACTGGCCGAGCAGGAGGGAAGCTGGGGCTGCGCGTGGTGGGGGCCGCCACAGCCTCCCGGGCTGGTCCTGCTGCCTGCACTTAATCTCTTCCTGTTTTCTTTCCATGCAGGATTCCGTTGGTGAACCTGTAAAAACAAAACAAAAATACAAAACCCAAAACTAAACTGTCTGAGGGGGAGGGTCCCCGCACCTGCCACCTCTGTCTGCCGGTGGGAAACACACAGCAGCCGCTCTAGGCCAAATATATTTTTGTAAAAATGCTCACGCCTAAGGGTGACTGCCTTCCCCGGAGTCTTCTTTGGAGAACAGAATGAGGACACGCACGAAGGGGACTGGAGACCGAGAGACCAGGTGGCCACGTGGATGGGGCAGGAGGAGGCATCCACGCCTGGGATTTGGACCACGATTCTGAACCTGTGCCAATAATACCATTATGTGCCATGAACCGACCCGAGAGCCCGGCCCAGCGCCGAAGCCGAGCGAATCACATGTAGAAATCTCACAGAGAACAGGGGCGGGAATCTCTTCCGATAGAGTCTCTATTTCCGGTTATTATACATATATAAATATATAAATACCAACAGACACACACGCACACACACTTTTTTTGTACGGTAGCAATTTTTGAAGATCTTCAATGTTCCTTTTTAAAAAAAGAATTGTGTTCTAGGTTACGGAATCTGATTTATTTAACACGCTTAGTACGAACAGAATCAAACTGATGTTTTCTACTCCGGCCACTCACGGCACACACACCCCACCCCACACACCCGCACATGCATTCACACTCACGCATATATCCGCATATATTGGAAATACAGCTCCACGGGGGAGTCTTTCTTTACTCTTCCTGGTGACCTGATGGTCCATCACTGATCATCCTGGGTACAGCGTGCATCTCCTGGTACCTGCTGGGTGACGACAGGTGTGTGATGTGCTGTCCTGGGCCAGCACAAAGGACGCGGTGGGTTCCTATATATATGTACACACATGCGTGCATCAGTGTCGCCTTCCTTCATTTAACCCTTAGGAGATGCTACCTGACAGCCGCGCACACATTGCCGTAGCCAGCTGCTGCGAGGCGGGCCCGGCTGATCACCAGGTTGGGTGGGCGGTGGATTCTCAGACATTTGTGTTATACGAGCAGAGACTGAATTAAAGAAATTTTCCAGTTCCAAAAAGTAAAGGAAAATCCTTCCCGCGTGTGCACGTTGGGCAGGGCGGCCCTCGGAAGGCGCGAGGGCTGGTTTTGCTTGGTGGTGACATGTGGCAATTGTGTATGTGACAGCCCAGGCCATTCTGGGTCTTGGTCTGGATGTTGCTGCTTTTTCTAGGGGCCCAGGGTGGCCCAGGTGTTGGTGGGGGCTGTCGGAAGAGGCTACCCTCATGTCCACACCCCAGGGCCCTCTGTTGGGTGGTAGACTGTGCCCCAGAGCTCCCCGGAGTGGGAGCCTGGCCTGGAGCCTGATGACCTCGAGGGCTCCCCGCACACTGCCGTCCACATTGCTGTGCCTGGTCATCTGGACCCGTAGGCCCAGAGCTGCTGCCGGCAGTGGGCACAGCTGGGGACCCCTGCAGCTCGCTAACCCACTTTCTTCCAGAGTAGGGGTGCAGGCCCAGATGAGGTGTGGGGTTCGTCCCCAAAGAGTGTGTTTCCTCGGGTATCCCAGGGATGGCTTGGACTTAACCTCGAGGGAAAGGCAGGTGATGGCCAGACAGATAACTGTGTTTGTCCCATGGAGCACCAGGCTGCCAACATTCTGCTGCATCCGTGGGACTCAGTTTCCCTCAAACTCCTCAAAGTGGGCTTGAAGCATTCACTTTTGTGCCTCCTGGAACATTAGAGAGAGAAAGAAGCAGGGTGGATGCCAGTGCCCGGTCCCGCCTGATCAGCAGCCAGGCGGCGCTCAAACATTGGGAGGCTTGGTTTTCGTTTTGTTCTGTCCTCACCGAGTCACAGCTTTGGCACACACCAAGGTGGTGCTGGAAGCTGCCCCTGGCCTCAGGTCCTCTCGGGTCCTTGATGCCCTGTGTGTCATCCAGCCCCTGCCCTTGGTCCTCAAAGCCCTCTCAGTTTGGTGTTGGTGCCAGGTGAGGACCCATCGGGTAGGAGGTGATGCAGAGCCGTTCCCATACCCTGTCCTCTCTGCGCAGACCCTAGGCTGCACTCCAGATGCCCCGAGGTCTTCATGGAGCCCCCAGAATCCCAAGTCTTGGAGGGAAGCTTAGAAAGACAAAGTCGTGTGGCTGACACTCCAGCATGGGCACAGAACAAGGTGATGGGGTCCACGTGGGCCCTACTCAGATCAGCCAAGGCTGTTGACTGGAGAGGCTGCTGCCCGGCTGCCCTTACCTGGTGCAGACAGAGGGATTGTGAGGGGGTTTTACTTTATCCCTAGCGCCCACCCCTTGCTGCTGTAGAGATGGCACAGGCAGGACATCTGTGGCTGCTCAGGGCCTGGGGGAGTCTGGTGGTGCCTGCAACATTGCCCACGTCCTTCTATGGCCTCAGGCAAAGTGCTGAGCCCTGAGTGTTCTGTCTTCTCACTTTGACCTCTGGCATCCACAGTCCACTTGCGGACACCTCCTCCCCCAGGGCTGCTCCTACGTGGCATCCTCCCTGCACAGGCAGGAGCAGCCCTTGGGGTCCCTGGAGGACCTGGTCCTCCCAGTGTAGAGTCTGAGTGGACCCCCACTGCTATGGCCATCTCCCAGGCCTTCTTTTTACACTTAGAAACCCAACTGTCCAGGAACTCCCCCGACTCTCTGAATGTGACCACCAGGCAGCCACCTGTGACCACTGTAACCCCGCCATCTGAAACCCTCCTTTCTTCTGTAAAATGTATCAGTCCTCATGGCCATGTCTGGCCACAGGTAGAGTTCTCGTCTCCCACAGGCTGCCCCTGTGGGCTTTCTGTGTCGATGTCCAGGCCACCATCCAGGTCTTAAAGAACACATCGTCTTGGGCCATCTCCACTTGAACTCTCTTGCCTGTGGAGTAAGAGTCCATCTGTTTGCTTCTTCTCCCAGATGGTCAAGGGTCTTCTGAAGCCGATGAGGCTGGGCTGACCTTGAGCTTTTGGAAAAGAGACAGAGATAGGGCTGAAGCTGGGACCCACAACCCGTTCACAGCCAGGCTGGATAGTCCTGGTCCTTTATTTCAAAATGGCACCAGGACAACCTTCCCTTTGCCTGTCTTGAACAGCATCACCTCTGTCATTGGGAGGATCTTGGGGAAGATGAGTCTCCAGGTCCTTGGGCTGTCCCTTCTTCTGCTGACCTCTTGGGTCATGATGGGTGAGGACACAGACTGGGCCATTCCCTGTTTCCACTTGTGAGTTCTCTGCAAGTGTACCATGTACACAGGGAGAAGACGTGGCTCTTCCTGATGCACTGTGCTTAGCCAAGTCTTCATTCCTCTTCTCCTGGGCCAGTACACACTTGAACTTCTACCATGTTGGCCAAATGGCTGGAAGCAAAGGGGTGTGGTCCTGCCCTTTGGGTTTTGCAGATAAGAATATATGAACACATAAAATAATTCACAGAGAATAAGCAGTGGAGGGACAGAGAACAGTGATATCCTCATATGAGTGATATGAGGAACAAAGAGAGACAAGCAGTTGTCACAGTTGCCTGGGATTGGATGAATTACTGAGGAAGGTCTGGGATTGGATGGATTACTGAAGAAGGTCTGTGATTGGATGGATTACTGAGGGATGATCTAGGATTGGATGGATTACTGAGGAAGGTCTGGGATTGGGTGGATGGAGAAAGACAGTTTTAGTCTTTCCTCCCTCATGGCCAGAAGCAGATATTGGATGCATCACAGATGTCTCTGCTAGACCCTCAGTCCTTCCAGGAAGGGTGGTGTGAGCTGGGATAAGCACCGTCACCCTAGCCATGAATGTGCCCCCTTGCCAGCACGACCCCAGCCCCAGCCCTGCTCATGTTCCTCCAACCTTCCATGTGACCAGGTCAACCAGGTCTCCACGAGGACAGGGCTGTCCCTCCTGGACCAGAGGTAGTGCTTTGCAAACACCCCCACACCGAGCACATAACTGTCCTCTTAAACAACATCTGCGTTAAGGAAGCAGCTCTTCTGAAACAGGCAGTGATTCATGTAATTTTGGAATGGTTACTTTGGTGCCGTTTGTCAATTTGCTCTGCCGTACTCTTTTTTGATTGTTTGTTTGTTTCCCAGTGTAAATAGCACAGCCCACTAAATGAGCCAAATTCTCATCATCTCGAGTCTCTGATTATTCTCCCCACTTATCTTGCCTTGATGCTCTGCCTGCAAAGAAGATAAACTCGAGGCTGGATTTGTGTGTTTGTTACTCTAGTGTTACCTGTGATGTTTCCAGGCGGGTCTGGAATGATGGTTTGGCATTTTGAAGCACACTAGAAGCTCTTCTTTCTAAAGGGTGTGAAGCCCGGTTATATACAGTTTTGCATAATTTCTGGGCATAGACCTTGCTTGCATTTGGAAGGTGCGGCTAGAGAGGGACTTAGGGAATTGCTATCTTTCCAATCACCCCACCCATCCAACAAACAGAAGAAGAGGCGTTTTCTGCCTTTGGAACGTTCTAGAAAAAGTTCAGTTAGCAAGCACACAGTAGTCACCATGTGTGGCCAGGCAGGCCCTGTGAGGGATTTCATTGTGCGTGGCTGCTCTTGTGCAAAGGGTGTCCTATCACTTGCACTGTGTAGGGGTGGACCCTCCCCTTCCCCACCAGAAACAGGAGGCGAGCCTACTGGAAATGGCAGCCACTTCCAGAAATGCTCACGTCCTCACCCAACCCTCTTCTGCTCCTCTCAGCTGACTGAGCCATGAGTCAGAAGGGAGATGGTTCTTGCCCTGGGCTCCTAAGGTGGTGGTTTGTGGACAGCAGGGGCTGGGGGCTTCTCCCTAATGGGTTGCCAAGCACTTTACACCCGCCCTTAAATGCAGAGCCACGCCCATCTGTAAGGACAACTGAAGAGAAGGATCAACTAGGTTTTAACTGATGGTCAACTGGGGGATCCAATTGGATGGAAACTTGGCATTCCAGCAGCTCTGGGACCTGTGCCTTGCTGGAGCCCCTCCTGAATGCCCTGGAGTGACTAGGTGTAAAATCAAGAGTCCATTTGAATGAATCCATGAATCTAAGTTATCATAGGGCAGGCTGGACTTGAGAGGACTGATGCTAAGTAGGGCCAACCTCATGGATCTGGGCCACCTAGGATGGAAAGAGTTTAAACCACTGGTGAGAAGGGAGCGGGAGCAGTGACTATATAATTGGAGATGTTGAGTTTTCTTGTGTAAATTGGAATCACGACGCACATCTGCCACAGAGACTGTTCCATTAAATGGGTTAATAAGCTATGCCCCGAGAGTCATTGCAACATTCCCATGGGGCTGAACAGCTCTTGTAGGAATCTTGAGTTCCATGGTCCCACATCTGCTGGGGGGAGTGCTGAGAGCACTGGGTTGTCGGGGATTCTTTGTAGAAGTTAATTAGTTTTGTCCCAGGTGGTCTTTCTCTTAAAACAGAATTCTCTGGAGATGCGAGTTTTCCTTGTGGAATTCCACACTCAGTTATTAACACCACTACATAACGGTGCCTCGGAAACTTTCCTTTTGAGTGGACCTGGTCCAGCTGACTCCCGGTTAGCCACCATCGGCTTCCTGAAAGGCCATCATAATGTCCTTTAGCAGTGGTGTGTACTTCGGGTTGCCAAATGTCAGTTAATCCTGAATTGGCAAAGTTACTGCTCCCAGGAAATCAGAGACAGCTTTGACCATGAGGAAGCAAGAATAGCGTGTAGCCCCCAGTTCTGTTTCTGTCACTTGTTATCCCATGAAGACGTGCAGCTACTAAAAATTGTGTAAGTAGCACTTTGAGGACCCGGTATGATCGGTTCGGAAGACTGCACGGGAATAATCATTGAAGGAGCTAATAATGCGTCTCTATCTCAGGGCCACCTGAGACAAAGCTGATTGATCCATTCCATTCTCCTCCCTGGTCGTCCTAGCCAGCAGGGACAATTTCATCCCCCTGTAACACTTTAACTCCAACTTCTGACCTTTAGAGACGGCTTGGGCTTGAGACCATAAGGGATTTTGCTCATGTTCAGGCTCTGACCCAGGAAGGTTGACCAGCGAGCTGTAGGGTTTCTAAGTCAGTTTCTGTGCCCAGGCAGCGGCTGTATCCAGGAACCCCTTCCTCCGCCTGCTGCTGGATCGGGTGGGGACTCTGCTTCAGTGTTTCTCCCACGTGTGCTTGGGTTCCTAATGCCGAGTTGTGACATCACCTACAGCGTAGGGTCTGCAGAGCAGTCCAGGTGCTTCGTTTTGCACGTACAAGACGTCAGTGCAACCCTAGAAAGCTCCGGGGAGCTGATTCCCTACAGAGCTCTTTCAACAAGATGTATCCTCCGCTGAGCCCCCATCCTCCCAGTGCTGGGCCCCAAAGGCGAGGAGGGCCCTGGCCTTGAAAGGTCAGACTCCCAGACCAGGCCCTGGGTCACCCCCTCCTAGAGCTAAACTGCCAACACCCACAGACATGTTTTGTTGTACTTTCTGTGTGTGTCTGTGTGTGTGTGTGTGCGCACGTGCGTGGTGTGTGTGTGTGTGTGTGTGTGTGTGTGTGTGTGTGTGTGTGTGTTTTCTCTTGCATTTGGGTCACTTTCTCTAAAGTCAGGGAGTGAAAGAGCCTGGCAAGGTCAGTTCTCAGTCAAAGGACAATAAGTTTGATTCTTAAAGATAAATTCCCAAAGCAGGTGACTCACGGGGATTCTGAAAACCTCCTGGAACAGCATGTGTCACGCTGGCCCATGAAAGGGCTAAAATTAGACCCTCTGCCATCTAAAGTGAGGTAGGAGAGGTGGGAAATTGAGACGCTTTGGTGTGAAAGATTGAGATTTGGGGGTAATGTGGCTAGCTTGGGGAGTTAGAGGACCGTTTTCTTACAAACCGTGTTTTGGTTTTTTTTTCTGGCAGCCTCAGTAGAATTGGTCATTCCTCTTAATTTCCTGGAGAAACAAGATTGCTGACATTAAAGTCCAGGGCAGGGTTCCCCTGAGTTAAGAGTGTTTAATGAAAGCAGACCACCCACCACAGAGCTTCCCAGGAATGGTAGTGACCATATGGATTAACCGTGTTTAACTTCTCCTGATGGAAGGTGAATGGGTATACAAGCAGGACCCTGTCAACCTACCCCTCTCCTTTGGAAGAAAGGGTCCTCAACTTTTAGACCTACAAGTGTTAAACTGGCCTTTGGAGAAGATGTGCATTGATTGCATTCTTAAAGTCTTTTACTTTAAACAAATACATATTTACTGAAAATACATAAAAATATCAATAACCAAGCACACAAGAAACCTCTGGAGCTCTGTACCGATTGCTTAGTTTGGTGGAAACTGCTCATTAAATACTGAATGCATGGGAAAAAGTCTCAGAAATCTCTCCAACGTCAAACTAGCCACGTACACTGAGCCTGGCCTAGGGACAGTTCTGTCAAAAAGATATCTAAGAAGCCTTCAGTCACGTCATGGTCAGTGGCTGAGCATTGGACACCTCTGGGCGTTGGTGGAGGATGCTTATAGTAACCTCCGAATGGATTTTTCACGGGGTACCTATATGAGCGTGTCCTAGCTGGGGACAGAAAGACCATTTTCACTTCAGCTGTCCCTGTGTGTTTAAATATCAGTTCAGTTCACCAGCCCTGTTACATAAATTTATAAAGTCAGTGGCCGTTGTCTCCACCCCAGCTCCCCAGCTCCCCCGCTCCCCCGTGGAACCAGAAATTCAGTCTATGAATGTGCACCCCAGGGTGAGAAATCCAGCCACGAGGCCTGCATTGGCCTCTTTTCTCAGCAGTCCGGGGGGCGTTTCAGACCTTAACTCCTCCTCTTTTCGCATGTACAGCAAACACTGGGTTTATTTTGCACTTTCTAAATTACTTTCTGATACAGTAAACACTTCACTGTGTATTGACCTTTTACACAAGCATTTGTTCTTTTTCAAGAGAAGCAGCGTCCTGCGTCCACGTTCCTGTTCCTCACAGATCAGCACTCAGCGTCTCTGCAGCCCTTCTCCCGGGGCATCCTCCTGGGACAGTTGGACCACCCTGGTTTCCTACTGTGTTCTTCCTTAAATGCATATCATAATTATGTTATGAACAAACATGACACACTATATTTTGGTTGGGTGGGGGGCAGGTGGCCCGGTGTAATTTCCTTACAGGTGAACTTTTATTCCAGATTTTTTAAGTTGTTTCTGTATTTCGAAGCTATGTATTTGGAAAACATTGTAAATGAAACACATATATATTACCTTTCCTCTGTATATTTAGTACTCTGATATTGCTATTAAAATCATGATATAAAAAAAAGCAATCCACGTGAGTCCAGGCTTTGACCGCTCAAGCACTTTTTAAAGCTTACTTTTTATCTTTAAGAATATTATTCTACGCTAGCCTCTAAAGATGTGACTGTTTATGTCTCTATGCCATGGTCCAGCCTGAGATTTTCTCTGTAGAAAATCATTATTTCCAACCTGGAGCTCTGCCCTGCTAAAGGACAAGGACCCTCCTCTGCTCTGCATGTGTGTCCCAGGGTACCCAGCAGTACTGCACAGGGCTGCCCTGGAGACTGTGGTGCCCACAGGTGAAGGCTGGGGTTCCCAGGACTCTCAGATAACAGGGCAAGGCCAGCCAACACCTGAAAATGCACCTGCTGAGGAACCCACGCCTCTGCTTGCATGCTGGTCTTGGGTTTCTAGCGGGGCACCTGCGCCCAGGCCGGTGGTGGCAGTCAGGATACATCAGAACTCGCACAGTATTGGAGGGGCCAGGGAGCTCTGTCCGCCTCCAGACAGGCTGAGCCGTGATGGACGGCTGTGAGCAGGGTCTCCCCGAGACCGGCTTGCAGCTCAGAGAACATCTGGCCCTGCCCAAGGCACTTCCGGTTGTCCCAGCTGAGCACAGGGTGCTGCTGGCCCTGCAGAGTAGGGGTCCTGTTACTAATCTCAGGGTACTTGAGACAGATGACCCTGTCTAAAGGCTCGAGACCACACCTCAGACCCACGGAGGACACAGCCTTCCCTCAGCTTCTGTTGTGAGGGGCCTCACAGGTCTGGTCAGGGTTCTCCTGCCCTGGCCACTGCGCCTGAGGCTTAGTCTAAGGAGGTGAGACAGCCAGGCGGCCTGTGTCAGGGATCCCTCTGGGCAGCCCAGCACCTCCATGTTTCTAAGCTCCTTCGAACACGCCTGAGGTCAGCACCATCAAGGCAGCTGCCTCACGGATCGAACCTTTTGCCAGAAGGGACAGAGCAAGGCAGAAAGAGGGCCCTTGGCTTTTGAAGACCCGCTTAGACAGGCAGGGGCACCAAGCTGGGCCTCCCCAGTTCCTTACTAAAGCCGCTCTGCACCAGCTGCAGGCTCAGGCCACCTTCAGAGGCCCTTTCCGGGTGACCAGCCTGTGGTTCTGCTTCTGGCCATGGCCCAGGACCACAGCAGGAAGGCAGGAAGAAAGAGGGAGTCGAAGTGTGCTCACAGCCCCAGTGACACAGCCGAGCACATCCGCAGGTAAGGAGGACCAGGCTCAGCCGAGCACATCCACAGGTGAGAAGGACCAGGCTCAGCGGGCTTCCCTGAACGGAAAACCACTCAGAAGTGCGGTGGAGCCTACGATTGGAGTGGGCTCCGGTCCTCCTGTCCATCCGGGGAGAAGAGAACGTGCTTTGACACTAATTGGTTCTCGTAGCACTTGTCCCACTCCAGCATGACCTGCTACAGCGAGAATGGCCAGGGGACATGGGAGGCACTGGCCCACTGTCACGGCTCCAGCCACGCCTCGGTCTGGCTGCCTCTGCCTGTAGGGCTCTGCCTGTGCATGGGCTTCGAGCTGGCAGATGGCTGAAGTGACCTCCCGCTCCCCAGGGGGCCCTCTCCGGAGCCCACCAGTGGCTTCACGCCTTGGACCATTGATGAATGGGATGCATAACTGTCTTTAACAAGCAGAAAAAACAATGCCACTCTGGTCATTTAACTGATTTAAACAAATCAACAGCCTGGATACCATTAAAATAAACTCAATTTGCTCACCAGTGAGAGGGGGAAATTGGGTTTCTAGTATCCATTTGCTAGTGCATGGTGCTCTTCTCTTTGAACTGAAGCCAAGAAAATAAACACAGGGTCCCCATATGGCTGGATACATTTAGCAGAGCAGCCTGCTAGAGGTTTCTAAATATGCGAGCTCATCAGAAACATCAGCGCCCTGGGCCGTGGCTGCAGATGGAGCCTCCCTCCAGAGCAGGGAAGAGGCTGGGCACGGTGGCACCGAGGGACATGGCCCAGGCTACAGGAACCCTTAGCAAATATCCTGCCAATGGTAGGGAGTGTAGGAAGAAAGAAGGGAGACGTGTGTGCCAGGGCCAAGGACATCCATGTCCCCTCCCTTGAAAGAAGCTGGTTCGGTGGGCTGCAGGTCAAAGGTGCCAGCTGGATCTTCCTCCAAACCAAGGCTCCCAGGCTGAGCCGAGTTGGGAAGACTCCAGGATCGTCGACCCTGCAATCTGCAGGTGCCTTGTGCATGGCTGCCTTAGTTGTGCCTCGTAAACTGGGATCTTTCAAATCCTTCTATCACCTAGGTTTTCCTGGTGGGCGTAGACTTCAGAGCCAATAACTTGGGTCCTAAGTTGGTTACACAACTGGTTCCCTTCAGGCAGAGCCTGTACTCCAGGTCCACCCTCTGCGCAGCATGGAGGCACTGGGTGCTGTTCAGAGACTTTTCTGTGACACTCCTGGCATCTACTTCAAGATGGCAGGTATCCCAGGAGCAAAGTCTGAGCTCTCCTTTCCCAGCTTGGTTCTGGCCTTAATAGTTTACCAGGGTGCTGCGTGTAACCCATGTGTCATCTTCCAGGTCTGGAGGCCCTGAATGAGGTCTGGGTGTGCAAGGCTGTGCTCCTCCCAGGGGTCCAGGAAGGATCTGTGCCAACTCCTGGCATTCCCGTGACTCACTATCCCATTACTCCAGGCCACACGTGGCATTTTCCCTTCATACCTCTGTGTCCAAATCTCCCTTTGTTTATCAGGACCCTGCCAGACTGCATCAGCACCCATCTTACCAATATGACCCCATCTGACCCGGTGCATATACAATGACCTAACCTTTCGGGGTCCTGGGGCTCGGTACTGCAACATACAAATGGGAAGCACAGTCCAGCCCTTTACAAGAGGGTTGCGGAGAGACGTCACAGTATTTCTGAAAGCTGTGCCTTTCCTTTGCTCTCTGTTTTAAGAAAACAAAACAAAACAAAACAAAACAAGGGAACTAGGGGGAAAGGAAGGTAAAACAAAGAATCTGAGGTCCGTTCTCCTCCCCCATCTGAGCCAGCAGCCTGGCCAAGCAGTGCTGGCCTTGCCCTTGGTTCCAAGGCTGCCAAGTTCACTCAGAAGCCCAGCCCAGTGAGGAAAGGGGAAGCAGCTTCTTTAACCTGACCGCGTCCAGAGCAGCAGAGCAGTGCATGCCTGTGGTTCCAGGCTGCCCGACAGAGGTGAGGCAGCTGCCGTGGCGCTGTGCCGTAATGAGACTGAGGCGGGAAGGTGGGGCAGAGTGCGGAATGGCTCACACAGAGCAGCTGCAAACACAGAGACCGACTTTTTTCTCACTCTGTTTGCATCTGTGGTTTCTTATTTCTGTTCCCTTTTCTTCCCTGGATTTCTGAGCTTCCTATATGGCTCCTGCACATTCCACTCTGCATCACGAGAGGCCTCTGGTCAGGAGCTGCTGCTTGGCTGGGGGAGGGAGGCCAGTACTGTGGGCCAGAGACACTTGCTAACTTTCCCTGGGGCGGGTGGGCTCTTCTCAGCGCCTCCCACCCTTTGCTACGGGGCCTGGCCTTGCCCAGGGCCCTTCCCGCTTGCGCTGACCCCTCCTCTCCAGCACTCCCCCTGCTCTTCCATCTCTTCAGCCTTGAACTTGGTGGAGACGCCGCTGCAGAAGCTCTGGTGACCAAGGCTGTTTCTCCTGAAGGGCGGCATTTCCAGGAGTGAGACTGATTTGGATAATGCTAAAATGCTGGAGGTGAGAGCCGAGGGAAGCAGGAGCTGCATACACACGGGGATGTCCGCTGGTGGCTGGTGGCTGGGCCCCAGCGCAGCCCAGAGGCTGAGGTCGTGGAGCTCTCCATGGTTCTGGAAAAGGGAGGCTCTTTACACTTGTTTTCTTTGGAGCCCATGAGTAGGCTCCCCGCTGGTAGTTTTATAGACAATCAAAGTCTGGTTGCTGAGAACCATTCCACACAAACAATGGCTTGTGGAAAGCTATGAGATAATGAGGTTTGGATAATGAGGGAGCCATGGGCGCAGTCTGCAGACCTCCCCGGGTGACAGACTGCTTCCCGTTGACTGATCCCACTGTTACCAGCAGATTTCCTGGGACTTGTCCTCACAAAGGCTACCGAGGATGCCCCAAGGGTTCTGAGAATGGATCCCCTTTAGTCAGTTAAAGTCATGCATCACAGTGTTGCAAACCAGGTTTGTCTTTGTCCTTTCCAAGTCAGCAAGGGACCTCTCACTGGACAGGCTTTTAGGGAAACAAACAAGAACAAAACATTATGTGTGAGCTCTGGCTGAGCTTGGTTCTTCCTGTTGAGAAAAGAAATCACACCACGATCCCTCTGGGAAGGAGGCAGGTGCCTGATTCGTGGGGCCAGGCCCTGGCTGGGCTTGGAGGCCACGCACAGGAATTGAGTAACGGGAGATGTGAGCATCCCTCAGCCCGGGCTCTCATACACTAGCATTATGCAGAAAACTAATGAGAATCACTGAAAGATGGGGCCCACTTGGGATTGAATTACCACTTAAATCAAAGTGACGGTGGGCAGGGGGCTTATGGAATGGAATGAAGGAGGAAGCTGTGTTTTGATTGGGAAGCCCTGGGCGCTCTCCAGGACAGTGGGCCCTTCTGCATGAAATATAACCCCGAGCTTCTGCTCTGCCCTCTGTGATTTATCTGAGCCAGAGAGACTTGTTCCAGTGCTTCTGAATGTTATTTCCAAAGAGCAAATGAACATCTCATTCCGGAATCAATGACACAGGAAACCAAGTTGGAAGGCAGTGGTACTGGGGAGAGGCAGGAAGCCACACTGAGTTCTGCTGGCTTCTATATTTAAACTCTGTTTCAAGCAAGCTGGAGGGCTGTGCAGAGGAGGGAGACGTGTGCATTCCTGGGCTCCTCCTGTGACCACAGGCCTTGGTCAGAGTGGAGTGGAGCGTGACAGGGAACCAACCATGGAAATATGAGAGCCGCCTGCCTAGCTGGGGGTCCTGGTGGTCAAATGATCCTCGGTGATGGTCACCTCCTGCCTTTCCTTTTCTGTACCTCTCCCA